CTTCCACTGTTTTCAAAAGAATATTATGAGCATGGCAGGGAAGAGAATGTTATTTAATTATTTATATAGTACTAAGTATTTCCCAAATGATTTTTATGATTATTAAGAAACACATCAAAAGGAAATGCAGTTTTTCACTTAAAAAGGGAATTATGTTTAACCTTTTACATTAAATGAGTCTTTATACGATGCAGTTCAGTCTTTGATAGCCTCTTTGAGACAATGCTATCCAGATTTATTTGGCAGAATATGTTAGACGTTAATATTAGTTAATTAGAAAAGGGATAAATTCTGGTTTAGAGAAAGGCTTATTTCTTTATTTAAACAATTTATAAGGCTTCCATTATACCAAGAGTGAGAAAATCATCACCGCTGGTTAAAATCATCACCATTAACAGTTAACAAAAACCAAATCCCAGCTCAAAAAACATCTAACTCATAAAGAACACATAATCACACTGAACAACAAAGCTCTCTCTCCTAAGTACCCAGTCCAAATGTTTGGGGGAACAGGTTATTTAATGTCTTACAGAAGGCTAAGAGGTTCAGGGTCAATCTGGGAGCAGGTTGTCCCAAAGGGAAAGTGTTGCCACAGATAAGGCATGAGTAGAGGATCCAACAGGATAACATTGCTTAATAGAATGAACCCTGAGTATATATCTTACTTGCTAAATTTGATGGGGTGAGAAAAGACAATGGGAGATGAAGGGTTTCACAAACAGCCTGGCCCCAAGCATTGTAAAGCTTGAAAGGTGACAACCAGCACTTGGAAGTCCACTGGGAGCCAGTGCAGCTCACAGAGCAGTGGTATTATATGGATTACCATGAAACACCAAAAACAGGAAGGAACTGAAGCTAACCTCCCCACCTCCCTTCACTAGCCTCCAGGCATTGAGGAAGAACCTCAATAACATCAACTGTTTTGTCCAGGCAGAAATGTATAACTGAGTTATCACCAGTATATGTCATGCTGACAGATGAGCTCACCCAGCAGCTTAATATCAGGGGTGGGATTCTACCAGTTCGCACCTATTTGCTAGAGCCGGTTGTTAACATTCTAAGCAGTTCGGAGAACCGGTTGTTAGAAGAAATTACTGGCCTAATCCTGTAAGGAAGGCAAGAAGGAAACATTCTGGTGTTGCTTACAGAAACTGCCTCTCTGTTAACACTTATTACATTCTTGGCAGGACTAGACTTCCTCAGAAACTTCTCTGGAGTTATTTTTTCCCTCCTTTGCTGGTACTTTGCTTGCGTGGAGTGAGCATTCAAAGTTACAATGGCAGTGAAAAAAGTGACTTACAACCATTTTTCACACTTACGACTGGTGCAGCATCCCCACAGTTATGAGAGGCCAGGCGAGGAGATGCGTGTGTTGATGTGAATGATACTGAGTTGGCCACACCCAGCCAATAACATGACCACCAAGCCACGTCCACCCAGTCATATGACCACCAAGCCATGCCCACTAAGCCACGCCCACAGAACCGGTTCTTAAAAAAATTTGAATCTCAACCCTACTTAATATGGATATTAAATAAGAGCAGGGAGAATAAGAGCCCCGTGGCATCCTACAAAGCAGGGGCCTTAAATTCAATCTCCCCTCCCTTGTCAACCCTGACTGTAACTAGACCCAGAGAAAGGAAGAGAACCAACTTAATAGCATGCCTCCCACTCCTAATCTCCTAAATTGTCCCAGAAAGATGCAGAAAATAAATGGTATCAAAGGCCACTGAGAGTTCAAGGAGGATTACCATATATTGTGAAGATGGGCTAAGCCCAATTTCACAATACTTATTCTGATCTTGTGCTAGGGTGCAGATAGATGAGTATCAAACTTTTTCTTTAATACAGACAATAGGTGTCTCAATCTCATACTGAAGAAAGTATATATTTCCCCTTCTATGAGATTTGAAGTGTTTCATCCTACATTAGATTTCTTCACAGTTTAAATATTCTATAAATTACTGTGTTATATAAGCTATCTGCTGAGTTGAGAGAAACAAATATTGGGAAGAAACAGAATTCATGAGATGAGATGTATAGGTATTGAGAAAGTTCTTCAGCATTAATGGGTGATGATGGATAGGATCATCTTCAACAAAGAAGAACAAAATGTAGAAGAAAAGGATAAGATCCTGATCATTTCACTTGGGACAAAATTTTGATCTTTCTACTTTGTATTTGAGCAATACAAGGTTTTCTAAAACTGCAGGTACATTTAAGTTCGTTTCACAGTTGAGGTGTTAATCCACATAATATGTGTTAGTGTCCAGTAAAAATGTTACTGACAACATAATAGTCAAGCAGAAAAGTCAGTTTTGATACATGTAGATTGCAATTAGTATAAAAATAGTTCCTAAAAACTTATTGTGTTTTAAGTAGTATCTGAAACACTAGATTCCCCATCTGCTGTGACTTAATTGCCAAAATAAAATTGGTTGTTCCTCCTATTCTTCACAGCAAAGAATCTCAGCCTATCTGTCTAGTGCCAGACAGGCACAAGTTGTGGCTGACTACCAACAAAAGGCCTGAGTTAATTATTGTGTATAGTTTAACAAATTACCATTAAAACTTGAGTCGGTTCCATATAAATACTTATCCAGTCCTCAAACAGTAGTTCACCAACTCCAGATTCAAGCAGTGGGATTTAATCTCTAGTTCTAGCAATGGTTGATTTAATTTCTTCTTGGCAGAGCTGTATGAAATTGTATCACCACTACACAGAGTACTCTGGCATTTCCACAGGAGCATTTTGCACTTCAGCTTCAATGTAGGAAGTGTTTCAGTAAGTCACTTTAACCAATTACTTTGTAACTGAAATAGTACATCGTTTAATGAAATTTTGCCAATTGGGTAGCCATTCCAATAAAATAAGTAAACAAAGCCTGGAACTCTGTGTCCATTACAATATTACGCAAAGTGAGAAATTCTTAGGTTATACTCTAAGCCTAAATCAAGTTTTGCTTGCTGTCAAGTTATAGAAAAAAGGGTGTGAGCCATGTTTTCAATATAACCCCAAAACATATATTACAAAGAGTTACTTTTGTGATAGGTTGTTATAAAAGCAATACTGCCTTTAAAGTATTGCTGCCTCTGCATGCTCTTTCTCCTAGTGTCCATAAACTTGTATTTAGCAGTGGCTGATAAAATGCTGTGGTTATTGGTGTTCCTTTTACTGTATAATTTGTAATTAACAGTATTGCTGAAGTTCTGTTTGTGCTGCTGTATTTTGTTTTCTTCTTGCTTTTAACATGGTTTGTATGAATCAAATTTTACTTGAATAGGTTTAGAGTCTCTCAGTGGCTTCATCTAGAACAGAGGTGGGGGACTATGGTCCCTTCCTGATTTGTGGACTTCAACTCCCAGAATTCCTGGCTAGAATTCTGGGAATTGAAGCCCACATGTCATAAAAGAGCCATAGTTCCTCACCCTTGATGTAGAAATTGAAAGAATGTCATAGATGCTCCTAAAGAATGGTCTCCAAAGTGGATACATATTCATTTATATCATATTGCTGGAAAAAGAAGTGCAATAAAATTTATTTTACTACTGGGAATAATTATTACAACAGGAGAATCGTGTGTATGTATAAAATACTTGAACAAAGAAAATGAATGAGATGAATGAATATCCAGAAACACATATACACACATTAAATCCCATTATATACTAAATTAATATCTTGGGGCATTAGATTGACATGGTATAAAATAGGAAGAAAAATGAAGAAACAATGGAGAGGAAGGAAAAGAGGAGGATCAAATGAGGGAACTAGAATTCTAAATGGAAAGTCTAGAAAAAGAAAAGATGGCGGAAAGAAGAAAAGATGGCTGGCAGAAGGAGAGCTGAAAGCCATTAAGAGGGAAGATCTTTAGAGTTTTGACTTCTGATAAATAGCTTTCCAATTTAACCTCTTCAAGTGTAGCGATTCTACAAAGGAGCTCACAATGTGCTCAAAATATATTAAATGGCACAATGTTAGGAACTCCCATTCTAATTTTTAAAAAAGGAATTTGTAAGTAGAAGTCAATTTCTTTCCATAGTCCCAATTTTCCAATGAGAATTATTTTTTTTCACTATCTGATTACAAAATCTAAGCAGCAGTAAAGAATACAGATTTTGAGAATTTTGTTTAGAACTTTTATATACTATATTTTAAGGAAAACTCAATTCCTGTTGTTGTTTTCTTTCTTTTCTATTTTTGAGAAACATTTCTTTGTTAATGCAGCCTACAGCTTTAGAATTTCTCCAGGCCAAATTCTGAGTCTTGATTCCACTCAGCTTTTTCAGATCAACCAGAACAGTTAAGTGCTGCCACCTAGCTGAGCCTCATTAGGTCATTTTTAAACAGCAGAACACAAACCACAAATCAAAAGATAAAGTTGAAAGGACAACTGAGTATTCCCCTCACCCAGCTATGATTACTTTTGATAACTGAATGCTTATTAAATGCTATATATAACATTTTCTTGCACACAAGGATATTCTCTCTAGAATCCCCATAAAACAAAGTTTGGAAAAGGCATTCAAATGCACATTTTTAACGAAGTAATATTTGCACAACTGGTTTAAATTACAAAAGCCAGACTCCATCCTGATAGCACAGAATAGTAGTTATAAGGTCAAATCCAAGTCTAACTTATAATAAAAATATAAAGAATAACATTCCTAGTTTTAATATGCAAAGGCTAACTAATACAGTGCTATAGTTATTGTGCTAACATTGTTTCTCTGAACATTAAAAATGCCCAGTTATTTTTTATAATTTAATACAGAATGAATTATTCATATTTTATATATTTATATAATGCAAATGCACCATCAGCTTTTAAGATAATAAACAAAGATAATTAAAAGCTATGAAGCTTAATCTTCAAACCCCGACAATTAAAAAATGGTTCAGTACTTACCATAATGTGATTGAAATGCCTGTGGTTTTATGACCTGATTACAGTGGTTACACATCACCAAATAGAAATCATCATGAGCTGGGCAAAGACCAAATATTGGCATATCTAAAATAAAAAGGACAATAAATATATTTATCTCACTGCTAATCAGAATCAGTGTACAAGTTATGTAAAAGTAATATTTGATGTTACCATAATTAAAACCCTGATATCGTTCTTCAAAAGCAGCAGGAGGCAAAAGCCCAAAGGGAGAAAATGAGCATGCAGTTATTCAACTATTTATATTTATAAAAGCATTTCTAAAGTCACCTTGCTCCTCAGAAAAGCTCCCTGTGATTTCCAATTTTAAACACAATAATTTAACAAGATAAGATACTGTATATAGGAGAGTTAAGAGTAGGGGAAAATATTTAAAAACCAAGACTGGAGATAAAATGTTCAAAATATTTTGAACCACACTGATAAAACACATTAACCGATTTCCTAGAAGTAAACATGAATATGCCAAATTAACATATTTACTCCAATGTTGTCATAGATAAAACTAGAAAACACAGATAAAACAGCTGGAACTAGAAAGTTTCTATCCCAGGTCTCTTTACTCCCTTTTTCTGAATGGTGAGAAAAACAGAAGGACCTCCAAAGAAGATCATCAGCCAAATGAGGTTCATATAAGACTTTCTCATATTTTATCAAATGTATTATGTTTTCTTCTTCATCATAAATAACATATTTATTATTACTTTGCTATAATTCACATATAACTAAACAAGGAACAAATTTATATTATATTAAACAAAGCACTGTGAAGCCTGGGCAGAGTAACTAATAATTAGTACAAAAATAGCATACTGAAGCTATACTGAAAGTTGGCTAGTCTGTTTGTGATCCAGCTTGCACAAATGTAGGAAGTTAATTAGAATATTTATTAAAATAATATGCCACACTTTTCTCTATCCATTTATGAATCTATAACACTTGTATGTAACAATGGATATTCTGGGCCTTGCTTCCTAGCACAAGCAGAAGAATTAGCTTTTAGTCTGATTGATCAGCATATTATAACTAAACCATCTAATGTCCCAGAAGTATAATTCTCATCAGAGAGAGAGAGAAAACGAACAGGAAAATAAATGTAAATAAAAAAACACTCTATACTTCACTAACATTTTATTTAGCATTTTTTGTTATTACTAAACATTAAATACTATTTAATGCTTTAAATTAGGTTTTCTTTAAAGATGTTATAAATTACTTTCACAAGGCTAAGATAATATGCTATATAAAATCTGGACAGATTCCAAGCTTCATTTTACAAAAGGGGTTCTTAAGTTTAGCAAAACCCATGGACCCCCTTCTCAGAAAAAAATGTAATTATATTGATAAAATACATACTATATATATTTAATGTGTAGTATTAGAAAGGAAACCAATTATGCTCAAATACAGTTACAATATTTAGAAATTACAAATATGTAATATAGTAATAAATATGCTTCTTTATTAATTCAGTAATTTATTAACAAGGTACATTTCAATTAGATGTCCATGAACACAATCATCTGCTGACAGTCCGCCCCCCTCACGTTATAGAGCCCAGGTTAAGATCCCCTGCCTACGAAGCTTACAGCTAAGACATATTAAAAATCGCTAACAAGTTGTTGTAGCTTCGGTCTCAGTATTTGGATGGGGACCTGCCTTTTATGCTATAATTGGAGTCTTAGATTGGGAAGTCCTTTTAAAAAAATCTTGGAACAACGCAATGGCAGACTGCTTTTGTAACTCTGTCAAGAAAAATACCTAGATGCAATCAGCAGCAGACTAGTTCAACCTGAGAATATCTTTATATATGTTGTAGTTAAGTAAAGAGTCAAATATTTGGAACACGGTTGCATGTTACTTTATAGAAATACCAAGCAGTTATACAATAATATAATTCCAATTGTCAGACTGTAAAACCATAGTGTTTTTTGAGGTTTTCCAAAACTTCTATATCTTAAATCTCACACATAGAATAAAATGGACTTTTCTCTACCAGACCCTATAGTGTAATTCATTGTACTTTCTTTAAATATTCTAAAATAATATAGTTTTATGTTTTTGTCTAATGTTCTATGTTAGCAAGTTTTGGAATATCTCTATCGATATCGATATTATATAAGTTAGTAATTAGTAATTAATATAGTTTTGGATATAATTAGAAAGAGGGATCAGTAAATACTAATTTACACACACACACAGTTTAAATTATACCTCAACTCTATAGCCAAAGAATACTCAAGGTGGCTTTGTCAGTTATTTTTTAGTAGACATCTGGCTCATTTTCAAAAGAGCCAGGTACTGAAGGAATTCAATGAGACTTACCTCTTGGTACAATATTGCAATCTTTTGCCTGTAGACAATCACAATCTGAGTTCAGATGCAATAGAAGCTATGCCATCCTGTTTCTCTCTCTCTCTCTCTCTCTCTCTTTCTCTCTCTCTCTCTCTGTGCAACCCCACTCTCTCTCACACACAAGTCCTTTACCCCAAAGCATTCAGGATTATTTGATCATTAATTCATGAACAAGCCAGTATCTGAAAATAACATTTAGTGCTGGTTTGTTCTAAAACTAAAGAAATAATCATTTAGAATTTACGGTTTTCTAAATTTCAGTTTACTTAAATTCAATTTATGAATTCGGAAGTGAATACTTTGAATGTCTTTTCAGTGCATTAAAGGAGACATGAAATGGATATACCTATGAGAACTCATTTTTTAAGTTGCAATCTACTATATTTATTAAATTTGCCATCCAGCTCGCTATCCCTATCTATTCCAAATTTTCATGTTTCTGATATAATTGCACAGGCATTATCATGCTGATCAACTTTTTATTTTGTACTGAACACACTTTATTAATTAATCATTCACAATTAAGAGCTAAATAGTTTCAATTCTTTACTCAACAAAACAGCCCACATAATATTCATATTTTTGTAACTAATTTAGAATTGGTATAGCACAGATTCTAACATCACTGTGGTTGAGACAAAAAAACCAAACAGAACACAGAGCTGTGTCAGAGATGTACTTTTCATATCTATTTTGCAGGTATTTTCTTACTCAGCTGTAATTGTAACAATAATGAATACAGTGCACTCTATTAACTTTAGTTCAGATTACAGCTAGGAATGTATGAAATTCTTCATACTAGAAACAAAGCCAAATCTGAAACATTTCCCACACGACTAGGGATTATCTATCATTTATATTTATTTCACAAACATGACACAGTGAACAAGATACTAAATGCTTGGTTATTTTAAAAAATCTAGGGATGCTGGTAAAATATTTTGGAAGCAATTTGTTTAGTTGGTAAGGTAAACAAATAAGTCTTTGTATTTCCTTAGAATTCTAACTTTAATCCTTCCTCTATGATTGACAACTTACCGAAAGAGATTCTTCAATATGTATTTATTTTAATATGTCAACCTAGATATTTATACTAACACTTTTTGCTCTTGGGATCAATTTTTATTTTGATAACATATGTAATCAAAAGAAATTGAATACATAAAAACCACATTTCTTTCTGCAACTTCTACATCAGTTGTGAAAGTCTCAGAAGAGATTACGGAGTTTGCTGTGAGAAGTAATATGTTTTACAATATTAATAAAGTCTGCTAAAATTAAATTGAGAATGCATAACCCTAACCCTGGAAGCTTCAACTAGTGCAAAATACCCACATTAACCAGGATATCCCAAGGTTGTCACATAATATCATTAAAGTTTGTTATATTTGCCTGGTACAATTCAAGATCCTGATAATCCTTCATGGCTTGTAGCTTGATTATCTTCATAACTGCTTACTCCAAAACATAAAAAAGAGTAAGACAAGAACTGATGGATAGAAGCTGTGCAATGAGAGATCCAAACTTGAATTTAATAAAGAATTTGCTGACTATTAAGCAATGGAACAGCCTGCTCTTAAAGTTGTAGGTGTTCTATCATTGTATATCAGGGGTGTCAAACTCCCGGCCCATGGGCCTGATGCGTTAATTGCTGGCCATGTCCACCCCAGGTTTAGCAAAGGGGAAAAAAGTCATGATACGTCACGTGATGCCGGTGTGACAACATGAGTTTGACACCCCTGCTGTATATGTTAAAAAAAAGGCTGGGTAGCCATTTGTCCAGAATGGTATAAGGACCCCTTCACTAGGAGCGTGGTAGGACCAGAAGACCTCCAAGATTTCTCCCAACCTTAATTGATAAACAAATTTTACTAATGCGCACACAATCTAAAATCTGTAATAATATTCAATACATTCTTGATTCCTGACAAGCAGAGCATCTGAGAAATCCCTAAACTTTTGCCTGACTCTCTGGACATATGCTAACACAGTCTGCAGGATCACTTATTTGAAAACAAGGATTACAGTTCAATACTGAATTAGATGCAATTAAAATTAGGCAATACTAGCAACGTGGTAGCAAGACTGGTAATTAGGATTGGACAAAAAAAAAATAACTTTCCAATGTAGAGAAAGTAAGTGATATTGATATTTGTTGGCAGCCACAGGCATTCATAAGTGAAAAACTTAAAAAAAAATACCTTGATTTTCACCACAGCTGCTTTTATCAGTTTAATTCTCCCCACCCTCATAGATATTGTCCATTTCAACAGAATTGCAAAGAACAGCCGCACCATTATTTCTTTGTGCTGATAATAATTGTGCTGGGTACAATCTGAATCCTACCAGTTTTTCTTGGAAAGTTCTACACAGGCAACTGACAATTGGAAGGAACAGCAAGAAACATGTGGGATTCTAAGAATTTCAGCTGGTCATTGTAAGAAAATGGGAACATTAGAAACAATTGCCTTAATTTTTCTGTTTTCTTCTTCTTTTTTCCCCCCTTTTCTTTCTGTGGCGTTTTTTTTCCTTGTAGCGTAAATCTGAGTGTGAAAATTGAAAGCCTTTTGGTCAGAGTTCAATATAAGTAATTAAAATAAATTCCCAGATACCAACTCTTCTATTAAATCATGATTCTGTGCTATGCTTTTGTGCAAAACTCTTTTCCCATCTCCAAACTATTTTAGGAGTGGGATTGTAACATCAACCAC